ATCAAGATGGAGACAGAAAGACAACCGTCGTCAATAACTGCAGTGCCAACGGACGCGATTTCTCAAACGTCAACGCTGCGAGCACGCTGGGGAAGACTGCCACTCACGGATCGCACGCATAAGACTTGAGATAATGCCAGCAGCAACAACTGCAACTTCAATCATAATAATCTCTATAGCTATAGATAGAAGTAACGTAGTCGCTTGACTTGTGCATGGCCACGCCCTACCCTGGATCCCTCCCCTTTCCCAGCCCACTTTGAAAACAGACTCCGCACCGTGCAGTGAACTTCTGCTTTCTTCTCTCCCACTACATCTCTTCCCTGTCTCATACTGCTTTTTCTCCCCATGCTTTACATCCTTGACTTTACTTCTCATCCCATGGTGTGCCGTGGAAACAGTGTTGTATGACTGAAATAACAGATGCGATATCAATTAACCACTAAAATAAAGTTGAAATAAAAAAAAATAGTTCCCATAGCAATTAACTGTTACAGCTCAAGTTGATGTGACCTTTTTCATTTTTAGACAGAAAACTGTTCAACCTATGGTATTGTTATTCATTAAATAAAACTACACTTTGGCATTCAAACATTAATTACTTTCACTTTTAACAAAAAAGCAATATTTTGTCAAAAAGGACATTGGTTAGTGTGTACATTTAGAAAAATTGTATCCCAACAACTTCAATTTTTTTTCTACTTTTTAATTAATGTTTGTTACTTTTGGACCGGCATCTTTTTAAACATTTGACCCCAGACTATTCGTCGTCGTATTCTTATTAAAATGTTTCGCCTTTTTCTTTTGTTTTAATTAAAGCTTATACTTAACAACACGCGAGCCCGACACATCCAGATGCGTGTTCCAGTTTGGAGGATCTCCCGTCGCAGGAAGGCGACCCGACACGACTGAGCTGTGTTACCAGATTTTATAGCCATTAAACAAGTAAACCCGTAAAAACAAAGTTTTTCACTATAAATCCTTTATATGCGTGGCGGCTAGAATCCTCTCGTCCTCTGGCTTGAGATGGCTGCCACCTATGGGTCAGATGATTGTCTGCCACCATTAAGCAATTGGTAATTAAATATTTTATTTGTTTTCCCTAAACAGCGTAAAATTTTGGGAATTTTTTTTCACGAACATTAATTGTCACGCACAACGAGTCTGTGTGGAAAATGTCAACTCGATTGGATCACGGGAAATGGGTTAAAAACGACCAAAAGATTTACACAGTCGTAAGCAAGCAAGCACGCAAGCAAGCAAGCACGCAAGCAAGCAAGTGAACTTAATATAAAGGATATAAAAAAAGAATGTTTCATGCGCTTTCATTGACGCCGTATTACTCATTGCATTTAAATATTCACTTATTTCGCTTTGATGGGAAATACATACTACTCTTTCTTAGGGGGGGTAGCTTTTCGTTGCCAAATATTACATGCTTTTTTATTTGCAATGAAATATTCATCATGTTTATGGTCTCTCACGAATGTGTACTTGGCTTACATTCGCTTTTATTTATCACCAGACTTCAGCTTGGGTTACGTCAGTGGAGGCCGAAGCCTTGCCAACTTCATGAGCTGTGCTAGACGCATTTGATCCCCCCCCCCCACAGTCAACACCGCCCATCGTGAAGTCCAATTGGCCTCCAACTTCCCGCATCGATTAAAAGTATCCAAAAACCCTCATGGAAATTTCACACAGCAGACTGGATTGCTTACACTGGAGTATTAAAACGCACCGTTGTAACAATTCCGGCAGTTCCACCATCGTGTGCTGTGCAAAGCTGCAAGTTCCCTAATTCTACACGGCTCTCCGCCAAATTTGCGCTCCCCATGTGTCGATGATGAATGTGCCGGTCTGCTTCGACGAAATGAAACAAATCCGGAGATCCCGCCTTGACCACGCGCCTCGTAGAATCATTAGGCACCCGCTCTCTGTGGCCACCAGGAACAAAACCAGCATCTCAACTTGAACACCAAATGTTCAAGCCGCAAAAAATAAAATCTGGGGCCTAAAAAAAAGCTCAGTGCGTCCACCAAGCCACGGCCGCCCAGCTGGTCACCCCAAACCAAGTCGCCGCTCGTCGTCTGCAAGGTGGCGAAGCTTTGCTCGATCGGGGTGCTCATCGGTGAGCCAACGACGAATGTCGACAGTGACGTTGCAGCGAGCCATATCGGAACCGCCCGGAAGACTTCCTCTCGCTAAACACAGCGGGAGAAGTTGGTCTGAGCATACTCTTTGGTTCTTTCGGTAAAGTCACGTAGGTAGAGAAAAAAATACATCACAAGGTTTCGTTCGCAACAACAAGCGACCGTCTTCAGGTGAGAGCTCAGCTTATTGTTGCGATCGAAACGGTCGTGATCTATATACCTACGCGACTTTACCGAAAAAACAAAAACTATGGATTCCTGCAGTCACGAAAGCTTCAAATCAAGATTGGTCTGAGCAGTGTAAAGCTCGGCACTGCCCAGGATGTATGTATATACGTATGTGTGGTGAACTTCTTTCACACTCTACGCAGCCAACCGTGCTAATCGGAGGTGCGCAGGAAGGACAAAAAACGAAACACCAAAAGCAGTCCTAAAGAAACGAGTGCATATCTCCAGTAACTTCCGAATATCGGAAGGGCGTTCCAGACAGCCGCAGAAGCGCATCCGAAAGCACGTGATGCAGTGACCATTTTTGTTCGATAGTTAGCCAAAAGCCGCTGTGAGGGTGACCGGAGTTTGCGTGATGGTTACACCCCACCACTGAAACACACGTGACCTGTGCAAGCTTATTTGTCAAGGTGCCCTTCCCCCTCCAACCCAGCTTAAATATACGCTGCCAAGCATGGTGGTGCTCATTCAGACGCTGTCTTTCCGACAGACCTGTTCTTCACCTGCTTGCGTTGTGGCCGAAACGTCGTGAGAATTATTTGATAATGTTTCATTTTAATTATTTTATTATTTTCCTTCTACGTGACTTTACCGACAGAACCAAGAAGATGAATCTGGATTTAGTCTGGAGAAATCCGATGATGTCCAGGATGGGCATCGATAGAGAAGCCCTGGGAGATAGGGTGGAACATACGAGTCGGACACTGCACTCAACACCGCGGGGCCTGATGAGAATTGAAATTTTTTAAAATGTGTCCTGATGAACCTTTTTTTTGTTTTTAAATGTGCATTTGAATTGGTTACCCGACAAGACCAATAGGATCATTGCGTGGCCTACGAGGTCAGATGGAACCCTCTGGGTCAGCTTGAACTGCGAGTCCAGACAGGTCCAGCCTATGACGCAAATTAAAGAGGAGGAGGGGAGGGGCAGATGTTGGGAGGGGGGTGCAGGGAAATGGGGTCGGAGCGGGGGGGGATTTCCTTCTGAGCAGACTGGACGGAGGACTGGGAGCACTTCACATTGCGGATGATGACTCTATCCTGGGCCCAGCCAAGCACACACACGCACTGGAGAAATCTTTTTTGTTTGTTTGTATTACTTTCTTTCTTGTGTTCGATGTTTCCAATGGATGTTTATTGCGTTGGCACGTGTGTACGCTCATGATTTCCACTTCGGGTAAGAACGTCGGTAAATGTCGTGAAAAGGGAATTGGTTGATCAAAAAATAATGCGATGCCGTTTTAAATTTCATCAATGTGTGTTTTGGCATGCATTTCATTTCTGTAAAAAAAAACAATTGAAAATATTTTATTATTCCATTTGAGTCCAACAAATTTCCCTGTGTTTTTCTTTGTAATTCATCCACCTGATCATTACTTCCACTTTTAAACAAAAACAAAAATAAGCTGTAATTTTTTGCCAACATTTTTTTTATTTAATGCCGTCGGTTTTTTTGTTGGAAATAAAAAATTGCATCTATGTTGTTTTTATATTTTGCATGAATAATTATTGTTGAGGCGTCATTTGTCACGTTTCCTCGTCACACAACAAGGTACCACTGTCACCTAATTTTGGTAAAATGCCAAACGTCAGGACCTCTCTTTGTACTTTTGAATGGCCAGTCACGTATTCTTTTTTGTTATTTTTCAAGCACAGATGCCGTAAGTGTATTCGTATTGGTCGTGCCACTCGACGGTTGTATTCCCATTGCAAGTGCATTAATCCCAAAGAAAGAATGCATGAAATACCAGCAGCCGCATTCACGTGATCAATGCCGTTACGCGAATAGTCGGAGAGGTGCCAACTTCAAATCGCTCCTCAATGCAACTTAGCGAACACGGAATCGCATTACACTTTTACTGTGAACTGGGACTCCGCGACAAAATGCAACTCATAACCAAGTGTTAGACACGTGCACATTCGCTAGTTGAGTTACCTCTTTTGCTTTGAAATTAACAAAAAACTAAACTGAACTTGAGAGAATTGCTCAATAGGAACACACATTGCAATAATCAACACCCTCCCCCCTACCCCTCGCTACTGCAGAAATGTGGCAAAACCCTCTTTAAAAAGAGTCATGAGACTCAGTGAGGCTTTCCTGGATGAAAAAGCGGAATAATAATGATGATGACAATGGGATGGAGCAGGACATCTTTACTAGGACACCCATCACATGACATTTGGGTAAAATGAACGTCACATTGAGGACCAACAGAGGGAATGAGATAGAGAGTTTAGATTGAAAATGAGATGGCAGGATGTGATGGGAATATGTTGGTTCACTTGAAGGCGGTGGGTGGCAAGAGATCGTGAGTGGTGGATCACATGCTGAGAGACATCTTCCCACAATTGGGGCGTCAATGGCCAAGAGAGAAGACAAAGGGCCGACTACATCAATCCTCGTCGTTGCGCTCTACCGCCTCTTCGGAGCGTGTTCACGTTCTAATCGAATGTCAGTTCCTGTAGAAGCCCTGAGAGAGTGGACCGCGGATCTCCCAACACAATTCAGAACACCGAAAACACATCGTAGCGCGATCAATTAAAAACTTGACCGGCTCACCGCCGACGGAAGAACAAACAAAAAACCGACGAGCAGATAAAAAAAAACCCGGTGATCGGCACCTCGCTCTGAGGCCTCTTCGCCCGGCGCCTCGGCCTCCGTCCCGCCGGCCGGGCTGCACTCGCCCGCCGACGTCGAACTCCTCCTCGGAACCGACGCCGCCGGCTCATCCAGAGGGACAACCGGCTGGCAGGGGCCGCTACCGCCTGCTGCCGTTCGCGCACACGCGCACACACACACACGCGCACGTACACACACACACACGCGCGCGCACACACACACGCGCACACACACACACGCGCACGTACACACACACACACGCGCGCGCACACACACACGCGCACACACACACACACGCGCACGTACACACGCACGCGCGCACACGTACACACACACGCGCACGTACACACACACGTACACGTACACACACGCACACGCGCACGTACACACACACGTACACGTACACACACGCGCACGTACACACACACGCGCACGTACACACACACGCGCGGGCACACACACACGTACACACACACACGCACACGGGTCACAAGGGCAGCGTGTCGCGCGCACAGCAGCAGCGACCCTTCGCTTGCCCCGCATTCTCCGCAGGGCTCTCGGCACGCGGATAGAGACGGGCAATTGCTCGGCGATGGCCTTGTGTGTGTGTGCACGTCTGTTGAACTTCTTTCGCGCCGTACGTATCCGACCATGCCGATCGGAGGTGCTCATCGGAGGTTTTTGCGTATGTATATACATGTTGAACTTCTTTCACACGGTGCATAGCCAACCGTGCTAATCGGATGTGCTAATGTGAAATTTAGATGTATGTACATGTTGAACTTTTTTCGCACCGTACGTAGTCAACCGTGCTAATCGGAGGTGTTAAATCGGGGGTTTTAGTGCATGTGCATATGCAAGCATGCATGTTGAACTTTTATCGTATCGTACGTAGCCGACCGCGCTAATCGGAAGTGCTAATCAGATGTTTTGGTGTATGCACGCGTGTGTGTATGTTGAACTTCTTTCGCACCATACGTTGCCAACGGTGCTAGTCGAAGGCGCAGGGGAAGGACAGCAGGCCACTGAGGTAGCTCTCTGTGTGTGTGTGTCTGACGTGGTATCGGGTGGTTCCCTACGTTGTCCGTCGTTTCGCTCCACGTGCTGGGAGCTTCTTCAGGAAAGTCACGTAGGTAAAAAGTAAAAATTTATAAAAGTAAAATAAAATAAATAAAAATAACACAGCACGCGTGCTGTGACGGTTCCACCTGAAGACGGAAGCTTGTGTTGCCTCCGAAGCGTCGTGATTTTTATTTTATTTTTATTTTACTTTTTTTAATTTTAGCTTTTTACCTACGTGACTTTACCGAAAAAACCTAAGAATATGAATCCTTGCAGTCACGAAAGCTTCAAATCTAGAACTTCTTCAGGAAACTTCGTTTCCTCTGCAGCACGGCCGCGGACAACAACAACAACAACAAACCCTCCGCAGTAGCAACAGACCGCCTGATGCTTTAAGACTGCCATTGTGTTGGTAATCGGACACATCGAAAGAAAGTAAAAGACAAAAAAAAGTCTGACGAATTATTCAACTTTCGATTTAAAGCTTTCGTGACTGCAGGGATTCATCTTCTTGGTTCTTTCGGTAAAGTCACGTAGAAGGGAAATAATAAAATAAAATAAATGAAACATTATTTTATTATATTTTAACAAAATAATAAAAATAAAACATAATTAAAAACATAAGTTTAAATTAATATTTTATTTTGTATTTTTATTATTTTATTATTTCCTTTCTACGTGACTTTACCAAAAGAACCAAGAAGATATTCAACTTTCGTCAAGATGAGAGTCGTGCCCCATTCGAATGTGATTCGCGAGTTCTCTCTCTTTTTATATCCTTTATATTAAGTTCGCTTTCTTGTTTACGACCGTGCAAATCTTTCGGTCGTTTTTTAACCCACTTCCCGTGATCCAATCGAGCTGACATTTTCCACACAGGACTCGTTGTGCGTGACAATTAATGTTCGTGAAATTTTTTTTCCAAAATTTTACACTTTTTAGGACAAAAATATTATATTTAATTACCAATTGCTTAATGGTGCAATGCAATCATCTGACCCATAGGTGGCAGCCATCTCAAGCCAGCGAACGAGAGGACTCTAGCCGCCACGCATATAAAGGATTTATAGTGAAAAACTTTGTTTTTACGGGTTCTTTTTTCATTCTCGTGATCACCTTCTACTCCGTACACACGGCTGCCGGTGACGAGCGACTGTCAAACCACAGCGCGCGTCGTCGCCATCCGAACGGAACTCCCCACATTCATCTTCTTGGTTCTTTCGGTAAAGTCACGTAGAAGGGAAGCAATAAAATAATAAAAATAAAACATAATAAAACATAATAAAATAATAAATAATTTTATTATGTTTTATTTTTATTATTTTATTGCTTCCCCTCTACGTGACTTTACCGAAAGAACCAAGAAGATGAATCCTGCAGTCACGAAAGCTTTACATCGAAATTTCCCCATATTCACTTTCCTTTTCTGGGGAGAAGGAGGGGAGAGTGTGAACGTTCCGTCGATAGCGAGAGAGTTTTCCACCACGGCAGATGTCGCCGCAGCCGAGTGTAGACGCGCCGAGCTGCGTTTAGGCGAACAAAACGGCGGCTTTTGTTGTTGTTCTTGTTGTTGTTGTTAAATTTCGATTTAAAGCTTTCGTGACTGCAGGGATTCATCTTCTTGGTTCTTTCGGTAAAGTCACGTAGAAGGGAAATAATTAAATAATAAAAATAAAACATAATAAAATAATTCTCACGACGTTTCGGCCACAACGCAAGCAGCCGTCCTCAGGTGAAGTCTGAAGACTCTGTCTTATCGACAGACCTGTTGTTCACCTGAGGACGGCTGCTTGCGTTGTGGCCGAAACGTCGTGAGAATTATTTTATTATGTTTTATTTTAATTATTTTATATTTCCATTCTACGTGACTTTGCCGAAAGAACCAAGAAGACTTGTTGTTGTTGTTCTTGTTGTTGTTGTTCCAGTCGCAGTCCCCTTCATGCTACCAGCTATGGCTGCAAAGTTTGGTCGTACATGATATGTATATCGTTTATTGTTCAATTTGAATCACAGTTCCTATGATCACTGTTACATTGTTTTTATAGCTTTATTTTGGTGATTTCGAAAACGTTTTGGTTTTGCCATATTTGTTTGTTGTAGTACAGAGGAGTTAGACTGATAACTATAATCTAAATTGTCTTATGGTTGTTATTGTTTGACTCGCCATCCCACTGGGATTTTTGCAACAGAATTAATATACGGTGCTTTTTTCCGGAAGACTTTTCTGTTTTTTCCTGGATTTTTCTGTTGCGCGTAGCCACTTTAAGGTGTTTCTTTGTTTATGTTTTTGTTTGTTGCGGTTGCACCCGATTCAGGAGCCGCATGGCTCACAGGGCTATACCTAATAAATGAACTGAACTGAAACGAACTGACCACGAGGCGTCAGTGGGGTCGGCAGCGAGCGAGGAACAGTCCCCTTGCACACCGCAGCCGCGTGGGGCACTTTAACGCGGTCGACAATGAGCGCGGGGTCCGGGTGAGTCAGACAAATTGCTCCTCGGCAGACAGAGGCAGCCTGACTCACACAATGCTGGCTCGCTCCGCAGTGTGTACCTCTCATTATCCGACAGGAAACGGCAAAGCTTTTGGGAGTTCTATTTGGCATCAGATACATACAGTAGTGGTGAAAAGCAGTGGCTGAAAACACTCTAACCACCTCCTTGTCTTCGTTTATTAACAAACACCGGTGTACAATCAAGATAGAAGAAGAGTGTGTGTGTGGTGAAAAATAACGCATTACAACAAAAGTGTTCAGCCCTCTGTTGCAATGGCCTGAACGAGCAGCCCAAATGCTTTCTCGTGCCCTGATGCTAGGGCCATTGCTCGAAACGTCAGCCCATTGTACATGCATATGTTTGCTGATATACGGCAGTGTTGATGGCAGTTGAGCAGGGTTGAGCAACCACCTACCCAGTGCCGGATTAAGCTAGTGTGGGGCCTGTAGCATATGTTATAACGGGGACCTAAATAAAAAAAAAACACATCAATATTAAAACACAATTTTTTACTTGCATAGTAAAGTAATTGTATTTTTTAATTTGCTATACAGACAGATAATACGACAAATTGCTAACCTTAAAACACCCAGTCGTTCATAATAGTTGAAGGCAGTATAGTACCATAGTAATCGAGCAAGTGCAGAATCAATGAACCGGAATTGATAGCTTGAAAGCATTTAGCGCGGGGCCCTTCAAAGTGCGGGGCCCGTAGCATGTGTAGCTACTTGTGCAACTAGGATAATCCGGCACTGCAACTACCACAACTGCCAGGCGATGGAGGCTTATACTATAACTCAAAGTGGCTGCGCTGTAGTCCAGCACTTTTGAGGCTGCAGCCTCACGTTGCTGTAAAACTCTCCTTCGAGTGGGCGTCGGTTAAGTTGCCATACGCCTTGGCTTGCAAGGGGAAGGGCAGTACAGCAAGTTGACTTCAATCGCCATCTGTTTCCATCTGCACGGGGATAGAGCGTTGCCCCCTCGCGCCCGTGGGTATTCTCCGGGTGCTTCGATTTCTTCCCACCCACTCACTAATTGGCTGAAAACATCTTAAAATAAAAAAGGCCAATGTAGCCCCCCCCCCCCCCCCCGAAAAAAAGTCATATGACTTAGTGTGGCTGCCCTGGATAAATAAGTAAATGATTACGATTATAGTATAATTATTACGATTATAGTTCTTGGCGGGTGGCCACCATGGGCACACGGGATAGGCTGCCGTGGGGGGTTACATGGTTTGTTGGCAGATGTCAGTGCATGCAGCAATAAGTCTTGTTTTTCTGTACTTCTGTGATTCCACACATCTATGGTTGCTGCCTTCACCAAGCCTCATTGACCAAGTGTGAAGTATGGTGAAGTAGCCACCCTCCCCCCACGCAGTGGATTTACAAAAGGGCCGTACGTGTCTCGTTTTTTTTTTTTAAACAACGACGAAATTTGGCGAGTTCTCCAGCCGGTGTATTTTTTTTATAACAAAGCCAGGTCACTCGTTATCGTCTGCTCACGAGCACATGCACGTGCTGTCAATTTGGAGCATAGGCACGCCGCGTACGTGCGTTGCCCTTTGTTAATGCATCGCTGTAAGTAACCAGCCTCCATCCCTCACGACGGCAAGATGTTAGCTCCTTCGCCCTGCTATGCAGCAGGTCGTGGAGTCGATTCCGACCCACGGCGCATGTATGTTTGGAGTTTGCGTGTCGCTCTCACCGTGGGTCCTCCGGATTTTCCCTCCACATTAAGAAACATGCGTTTCGAGTATGTGGCTGCTATAAAGCTAATTCTGCTATGAAGTCACCTTTGTGAGAAAAGGGCTACATAGCTCAGTGGGCATTATCTATCTTCTTGGTTCTTTCGGTAAAGTCACGTAGAAGGGAAGTAATAAAATAATAAAAATGAAACATTTTATTACTTCCCTTCTACGTGACTTTACCAAGAAGATGAATCCCTGCAGTCACGAAAGCTTTAAAAGGGGCCTTATCTAGTTAAATACAAATAGCAAGACTGCGCGGTAACCTGAGTTCGATTGTTCCCACGCGGCTAACATCAGTGAAGAGTGAAGTGATATCTCAAACAACCCTGGGTCCCTCACTCCCTTCACCAACTCGCACTGCTTAAGCGCGGTGACGTATGGTCAAACGCCCCTCGACGAACGATACGACGTGGTGGGGGGGGGGGGGCGGAGGTCTTCATCCAGCAGTGGATTGGCGAAGGGTTAGGGCTGTGACTAGAGCGGCGTCTTGTAGCCACCGTCATTATTGCGGCACGGATAGGAATTGCTGACAACGCGCGCACGGCTTTCAAATGCAAGTGAACGCGTTGTATAATGCAGCGTTGCCTCGTCACTGACCGGACGTGCTCTCGATTGCAAACTCATTCCTTTCGTTCAGTTTGGTGTCTTTCCCGGCACGTAAAAAAGTCCAACGCACATTACACACGCACATATTCGCCCGTGGAAATAGTTTGTGAAAAGAAGACAAACCATGGATCTCTAACAAAAAATTTCAACGCGCGTCTCGTCCTCTGATGTAACAATTTAGCCGTGATAATAATAATGCTGAGGTCACACGGAATGACGAAAAGCCATTTTAATGAATTGTCGCTCAGTGTTATCACCAATGTGTTAGGGCAACGATCCTTTGATCAATTTATCCGGGTTTCTCCCGGACAAGTCCCTCGTCGCAAGACAACGTCATGATTACATTTCATTTACGTTGGATCATTATCATCATTATCGTGACCTCCCGCTGCAGACGGGACGACAGAAAAGCGGACACAGTTCACTTGTTCAACCCGAGTTGGAAAGAGTTAAACAATGTATTAGGCTACTAAACTCTCCTTCATAATAACTTCTACACGGTATAACAAAACACATGGAGTTTAAGTTAAACAAAAATCATCTCCAGATGCTGCTATGGAAAGAACACAAATGCTTTCTGTGTTAATGATTATGTAATACAGTATATAATAACTCTTTATATAAAAGCCTCACTGAGTCTCAATACCCTTTGCAGGAGGGTCCTGCATGGGGCGTATCAATGTCAGGGAATGTGGAAATAATCCACACGCAAACGAGGGGGGATAACGCTCCAAACTCCGTACAGGTCGATTCAATAATCCATCACTTTTCTGCAACCTTCTGGGTGACCACAAGTTAGTGCATTCTGGAGCAGAACCACGTGTAACAAATAGCGACTCAATGCCCGATTCACGAACACTCAATTGGCTGGCTTAACCACTGCACTGTGAAAAAATAGTTGTTGCTCCATACGAAGAAGAAGTCGAAGACTGAAATCGGACAAAATCGCAGGCCATTGATGATGATCATGATAGCGGCCATAACGCTGATGCTACTGCTTTTATGATCACATGGAAATGCTGACGTTCAACAGGTGAGAGTGATCAAGCCGCACAACTTCAACTATTCCGAGCGTACCCAACAGCACACAACTCTACCGCGCCGCGTTCATCCAGAACCCCCCCCCCCCCACCAACTCCTCCGTCCGACCCCCGCTGCCCCAAACTCCAACTCCTTCGCTCCCCCACAAACCCAGAAATCACCCCGCAACTTCCTTTACCTCCGGTGCGACTCGCAGGGCACACGAGTGGCCGCGGCTCCGAGAGACACCCGTCGGCGGAGTCGTCAGGGTCCGACTCGTTGGGCCCCCGCTGCTGTCGCGGTGTTTGCTGCTCCACCGAGCACATCGCGTCCGACGCCTCCTGGTGCCGCTTCCCGTCACATCGAGAGTCGCTCGCGCGCTCCACACGCAAAACCGGGTCCGTGGGGCGTGAGCAATCCAACACTCTTCTTATCCAACACCAGCACCCCCCCCCGGGCCTCAACCAAGCACAACCACCACCGCCTCTACCCCCCCCCAACCCCCGTTCAATCTTTCTTCTCTTCCCCCCCCCCCCCAACTGCCTGTTTGGCACCAAAGTCGAAATTTTCGCTAAATAAATAAATTACGCTTGCGTTGCGCGCGTGTGTGTGGTGTGTTCATGCCGGGAGTAGCGCGCTGCGCTACAAACCAGGCCACCCGGGTTCGATTCCCGCTCACGGCCAACGTCAGTGACGATTATTTGAATCGGTCCTGGGACTCCCCTAGGTCGACTCAGCCTCAAAATTAGTACTTTGTGCGGTGTGTAAACATCGTCGCTGGGGAGACAAAGGCGGCCGCGCGTGGTGGCGGCCACCCACCCACCCCCTCGTGTGCCTTTCGGGCTTTTATAGGTGCTCGCTAACAGCACACGTTGACCCAACAGTCATTTATCTTTACGGGGGGACAATTGCCATTGCATCTAAGTGCATCAGGGGCGCAGCGATCTTTCAATTGCGTCCCGGGCGGGCCAGGGGTAATAATGTGTCACTGTACGTAACGTATCCAGCAGTGTATAATGCAAGCGCCGTAAATATTTAATCGATGGACGCCGCTAATGCGCTCTTGATCGGTAACCATTAAGCACAGAGAATGCGCACTGGCGCGCACATGCGTTTAACACACAAGGCCTTTGTGGTGGCGGTGGTGTTTGTGTTGTGGTGGTATCGTGGTGGTGGTTGTGTTGTGGTGGTATCGTGGTGGTGGTTGTGCTGTGGTGGTATCGTGGTGGTGGTTGTGTTGTGGTGGTATCGTGGTGGTGTAGCGGTTAACGCGCTGCGCTACGAAACCCGGCAACCCGAGTTCGATTCCCACTCGCAGCCACCAACACCAGTGACGTTAATCTGAACCTGCCCGAGGCCTCGTCTAGGTCGACTCAGCCTGAAATGCGAGACAAAGGCGGCCGGGCGTGGTGCTGGCCACGCCACCCCCTCGTGTACCGTTGCAGCCTTCATAAGTGCTCGCGAACGGCACATTCCCCAGGAGTCTGTTTCGGCTATACGCGGGAGCGTTGTCTCGTCTTGGTGGTGGTCGTATCGCGGTGAAGCTCCGAAGTTTAAACAGCTGAAGAAGGTAGCTCAACGGAGCGCGTAGACGCAGAGGCCAGCTCAAGTCGTGAAGCTTGCTGGTATCACCGCCCGCCACGGTGGAGTTGAGTTACCTCGCGTGCTGCGAGCGATTCGATGACATCCCTCGTGTCACAAGTTGGACAGCCGCCAATTCTTGCAGCGTGGGTTTGCAAACCCAGCCAAGGAGTTTCGTTCGATTTTTTAAATATTTTTTTATATTTTCATAGCCCGTTGTAAATCCACCGCTGGATGAAGACCTCCCATCGTAAAAGTTATTTTCATCCGACGTTACCATGCTACTCAGTGCGGGTTGGAACACGCGTGGGCCCCAGATCTGGGTTGGATATCACTCGCCAACGATGTTTGCCGCGACTGCGAATCGAACTTAGGTTCGCAGTTGTTCGTGGCGCAGTAAGCGACGCACCCCGGCTTCTCCCCCGCCCGATTACATATCCACACAAACACAGCTAAGAACGACTTTGACTTGTGCCAAACTATAACAAACTAAAGCAACCGAGTTTGCAGTTGTGCAGAGACACACGTAAAATGATCATCACAACTCATCATCAACGCCTTATCCGCATCATTACCAGCCCATAGGATTGACGATGGTGGATTATGATGTTGCCTTGCGCTGTGATTTAAAGGACCTGAGTTCGATTCCCAGCCGCCGCTCGCATCGGTTAGCGAGTAAAATCTGAAACACAGCTGCCACCTTTTCCACCTTCACGTTGTCCTGACCAACATGGGGAAGTATGGTCAAAGAGCCCCCACGATCGATGGGAATTAATAAAACTCTGTCAATTATTATGATTGTTTTCACAAAATCTACAGTTTTGAATCAAATCTTAAAATCAATTATTATTATTTAGCCTTCTGGTTTTATTCTGACATCGTAGGATTATTATTTTACTACTATATTCGTTGTGCCTCTGTGAATGTTTAATTACGAGTGTTGTCACAACATGCGTGTTTGTAAATGTTTGTTTTTACCTTAACTTGTGAAGTTCGTTGCGAACCGCGTGGTATGAAAGGCGCTGTCTAAATAAAGATGATTCTCGTCGTTGCATGCGATAGGCTGACGTTTCGAGTGATGGTGATTCTGCAGAGCAGAACGACTTGCCTTTAAAGATCGCGATTTTGCGCCGCGGCTCCACAAGGAAACCGGAAGATTTTAATAACAAAGCCGACAAATTCACCTTTGATATCGACGTAAAACAAACAATCTTCTTTTTCAAGACAATCCCACAACATTATTGACTTTTATCGACGCATCACTTTTTTTTTTGCCAAGTGGGAGGCTACTTTTAATTTAAACCAGTCGATACATCACTGACTGTAAGGGATGTTTTTTTTCTCAGAGCTCACTGACGTCCTCTTATTCCCCGGCCCCCCCATGTGTGCAGATGCTGCAGATGACAAATCCCTTACTAATTGGCTGTGTCGGGTGGTGGAGGGTTACGACACATTTATACTTATGCGATCTAACCCGAAAAAAAACATTATTATGAATAATATTGGTCGCGAAAGCCTACGTGTTAAACTGTGCAGATACTACTGACTCTATTGTATGTAGGGTGTGTAGGCATATATGTAGATACTACTGACTGTATTGTATGTAGGGTGTGTAGGAATATATGTAGATACTACTAACTGTTGTATGTAGGGTGTGTAGGCATATATGCCTACGAAAGAAAATGTCTTTTTTGGGGGGGGGGGGATGTCGACAATTGTTGTAAACCTGTTGGATCAACCTTTAACATTTTAATTCAGGCCTTTTGAAAGGCTCTTATACTTTAGTTGACGGACAAACAGACAAACGGGACGCCGGGCTTTTACAATAGATTAAGTGACAATCCTCTCTACATCAATTTTTTAAAAAATATTTTTACGAACGCCCAAACTATACTTAACATCACCATGATGATTATCGGTCACTACATGCTGCGTAAATTTCATCACAAATTTAAATACAGTCTTCTTGAATTAATCGACACACACACACAAACCTATCCATTTATTAAAATGATGTTGAGGAAGCTGATGCAATTTCTGTTTCGGCAAGATGTGCGTGGGAGGCGCATGTCTGTGATTCAGCACTTTGGAGGTGACTGTTGGTGGATCATCCAGAGATTTATGAACTCCCAAACTCACTGAACTACAAGGTGGCCACGAGATGGCAGTGTAGGGGGTGAGTTGAATCCATCTTTGCAGAGCTTTGAAGCGCTACCAACTCGGTCGCGTCGTGGCGTTTTGTTTCTGGATGCCCCAGATTCATCTCACGTTAAGCTGAACTCTCTCGTCGATGGAATTGGCCAAACATGCTCATTGCCGGGCCGTTCTGGACAGGAGTCCTGAGACTTAGCGAGGTTTACAAAGACGAAACAAAGAGCATTACATATTGACTTAAATCTTGAATACAAAAAGCATTGTTATACACTCGATGACGGTAGTAGTTTCACTTGCGGTTTACATGACGCATCGGGCGAACGCCAACTGAAATGCCAATGTGCCATCTGGGTGAGCATACGCTGCCCCTTCTGTCTATCCACTGCTGAATGAGGGCCTCCCCGTGCCGTGCGAGTCTTGGGAGCTATGTGACTATACTTCACCGTGCCGGTCTGTACGGGTTCGACACGATGGTCACCCATCCGAGCATTATTCAGGCTCAACTCCACCGCTTAGCCGCCCAGTTTTCACGATTATTTGGCGCATTCCATGTGATTTGGCCGTAGGCTTATACACAACGCGAGCCAAAACGCTTCTGCACAATCGCTCCTCTCCCTCCGTCCCTCAAAAAAAGTTCTGCCCGAGAAATCCGGCCTATAAATTCTAAGAAGCGTCAAGAACCGCCTCCGTGTTGTCTTATTCTTGCGATGTAGGCACGGTTATTATTATTATTAGGATATATTTTGCTCAAATGCCGCTACTACTCTACCGCCTGGCTCTATGAAAACACATAATTCGCTGGAAGAAGTTTCCCCCCACCCCTCTACACTGTTTGCAGGTACATGTCAAGGGTCAACTATTTAGCAGCACTGCACAAATACAGCGGTGCATTTTTTGTCCGTCATCCTGAGGGTGCCGTTAGCGTTAGCGTGGCGGCGGGCGGCGGCGGCTGCTGTGGGCTCATTCTGCCCGTACAGTTTCCACCGGCACTGCCTGTCGAATGTGGCCAAATAAACGATAATAACACACAAAAAAGAGGGCCTGGCAGGCATCGGGGTTGGGTCATGGAATTTGAGTCCACGGCCAGAAAGTGAGCGGACCAATGGCAATGGGCTTCAACCGCGGGTTTGTGTTTTGCTTTAAAGAGCCGTGCGTACATCTCCAGTTCCCTCGGCCACTCAGCACGAGCCGTCGTGTTGCCTAGTATGCAATTTACTGGTACATACAGCCCTCTTCGGTGGTCAATCCACTGATGAGGGCCAATCATTCCGCCCACCTCCCTCCCCCGTGGGTGGGAGATGTTCGATCATATTCTTAGGTTTTTTCGGTAAAGTCACGTAGGTAAAAAATTAAAATTTATAAAAGTAAAATAAAAAATAAAATAAAAATCACGACGTTTCGGAGGCAACACAAGCTTCCGTCTTCAGGTGGAACCGTCACAGCACGATAGCTGTATACAGCTAATTTTTTTACCTACGTGACTTTACCGAAAAAACCTAAGAATATGAATCCTTGCAGTCACGAAAGCTTCAAATCTAGAATGTTCGATCATACTTCGCCACGCTGGTCAGTGCGGCTAGTGAAGACGAGGTGAG